CTACAATTGATTAACTGAGACACGAGAATAAGCATTTTCAATTTTATTGATTATTACCAACTGGTTTCCAAAGTGGTGATATCACTAATATTCACATTTGCAAGAGGCTAGAGGACAGCCTGTTGCTCTAAATCTGTGCCAATGTTGTAGTCCTTAAAACTTTGGCCAAGGTAACATATATGAAATGACGTCTCTTCATGTGTTTAATCTGAATATCCTTGACTATAAATGGAGTGAGTATGCTTTCATAAATGTATTGATCATCTGAATTTCTTTTTCTGTGAATGAACCATTCAAATTTTTGTCCATTTTTCTACTGGGTTGTCTTTTCTAATTAATTGAAGATTGCTTTATAAATATATATTATGGATCCTAATCCTTCATTAGTAATATGCTGCCAGTATCTTCTCTCAATCTATGGATAGTCTTTTAACTTTTTAAAAGATGATTACTAATATAAAGAAGTCTTTACTTTTAATGTAATTGTATGTATCAATATTTTCTTTTACTGTTTTTGTTTTTCTAAATCTTAAGAAACCCTTCTCTACCCATAGATCATAAAGTTACTGTCTCACATTTTCTTCTAAAAATCTTAGCACTTTGTTTCTCAAATTTTTACCTTTAATCTACCTAAAACTGATTTTTGTGTTAGGATTCAGGTGCAGAACACACACACACACACAGTCACCCCTCCCCCCCTCCATGCCCCTGAGTATCATTCTGGAAGCATTTTTGTTGTCCCTAATTATCTGAATTAGTTCCTATGTCATATACCAGGTTTTCATAAAAAATGGAGACTGCTGCTTTGACATTCTTTTTTCCATCCCACTGTCCTATCTATATATGTCTTGTTATCTGGGAAAATGTCAGCATGGTCCCAAGTACACTTTTTCCCCTTAATTTTGAACATTTTCAAAATTGTGGTAACTTAGCTAACAGTGTATGCATTTAAAAGCTTATGACGTAGACTCTACATTGTAATTACTTTCTATATAGTACACCTATATGTAAGTTCCTTAGAGCAGAGAGACTGTGTTTAATATTGGTCTTCACAAATATAGTCTCAGTTACTGAAGGAGTGCTTAATTCTTGTAGGAAAAAAAATTATTTACTTGCACCACCTCAGTTTATGTAGGCTGTGGTAATAAATACTAGACAAGCACTTCTTTACTATCACATTTTTACCACTAAAATACAAATACAGCATTACATATGGTCTTCTCCGCTGGCCTGCCCCATCTCTTACATGCTATGTGTAATCGGGGGGTCACTATCTCAAATGACTTTGGGGCCACAAAAGTAGCAATTATTGTGTGAAGAGGCTTGGATGAAGCTATATGGAGCTGTGGAAACTATGGTCAACAGGAAAATATCTAACTAAATTCACGCAAATCAATTTTTAAAAAGTGCTGTGCTAGCCAAGTAAAAAAAATCATCAGGCCCCACTGCCCCTAGCTTGAGACCTCTAGTCATCTAAATACATGCAGCATGACGATAAACTGTCCCAAACATACAAAAAATGCAGAACTTAAATGTCTTCTAAACATATTTTCTCATGGGAATTGCTTTTACAATATGCTACAATTAGTCTGCTATAATCAGATTTTTATCCCACCAAACGTACTGTTATTCTATCCTACAGCCTTGGCTATTTAAGATAAATTTCCTTGTCTTTAAAATGGGGACAGTAGTAATATCTACTTCATAGAACAAAGATTAAATAGCTAATGCATGAAGTGCTTGGGATAAAGCTTTACTTTTGAGTGATCACTTAATTATCACTATTATCATTTATAAAGTTCATATTTTAAGTACCTTGTTTCTAGTCACTCTCTTCATTTCCACAAGTATGTTAGATTGGGTTGATAAAACTAAGAGCTTATATTAAATTTTACTTTTCATTCTATCTGACAAAATCCAGAAGATACATTTTGATTTCCATATTCGACTTTTCAAAGCTTCCCTTAATGTCAGATTTAATGGGTCTGGTAAACACATATACTTCTACGAGAGATGTAACATCTGCTTTTAATCATGATTTGTCTCCTGGAGGTCCAATTTCTGAACTGAGCATATCTTTAAAAGACAAGAAATGAAGCAGTAAAATCTCCAAGATTTAAAAAACGTTTATACGAATGATTATGGATGCAATCTGATAAACTGAATCCTTACAGTTAACGAAAACAGTAAAAGATAAATCTTAAGTCAGACAAGTTGGTTCCTTTGAGACAATTAGCATTTTATGAGAAAACAATCTCTCCATAGACCTTTCACCCAAACCTTAACTAATTAAAAACTTTTAGTCATATCTGTCTTCAGAGCACCTGACCATGTTTACATACATGTATAAATGCAATATAGCTCTAGCAATACTTAACAAGCTAAATCCAAATAAATGTCTACAGACTTAGCAGGAAGAATATGTCCAAAAGACATCATGCAGGGTTTTCAAAATTATTTGGAGCTCCTATTCCAGGAAAGCCACACTGCTGTTTTGATTTTTCTCTAATGTATGGAAAATAAAAACTGAGGTATTTCATAGCACATTTGACATGAGTACTTATTATAAAACATCTCTCAAATTTGCTTATAATGAACAGCTCTCAAAAGAGAAAGGCAGAAGCATTCAGAAACTAACTGTTCAGGCATTCTGGTGCATTTCCAAGAAGCAGCAGCAACCTAACACTGAGATGAACTAGTTTAACCAGATATAATTGAAAGTCCAACAAATGGGGGGGGGGAGGAATATATATATATATTCCTTTTAAATAAAACAATTGACAGGAGAAAAATCTGGAAACTGGAACCCAAAGGGCACCGTCTTGCCCCGTCCATACATTTTTCCTTCTATTCTGAGGCAGGAGCAGAAACAGAAGTAGAGGCAGGTTTCTTTGGAAAATAGAATTGCTAAAAGACAAAAGCCCATGACACTTAAAATTGCCCCAACTAATAAGAATTTCTCAAAGTAGTTAACTAAGGCTTTAAAGGAGTTATACTGGCAGGAAAACTCCTAGCCTGGAACAAGGGGTATGTGATGGTTCAATGTTAAGCAGTCCTCAGGATTAGAACATATGTTCATATGCAGTGGGCTGCTAAAGAGCAGAGCTTCTAGCAGGGGAATCCTTTCCAATAACCCTCCGAGGCAGCCTAGGACAACAACGGACAAAGAAAACTTCACCAGTAGGCAAAACCTGGGGACACTTTGGAATACATTAACCAATTAAGTGAGTCCATTCTAGAAAGTGGATCAATGAAAAAATGCTCAAGTGGGGTGACTCTGCTATCCACATCTAGCAGGATGTACTACCTATTCTGAATCAGTGACAGCTATTTTGCTTCCTTTTTTACCTTTTTTTGAACTGGCATTTTAAACTGCAGTTATTTCTGTTTTTGCCTCTAGTGCTTTATATGAGATATGTCAGATATTTCTATATTTTTCACTTAGTCCATGGATTAAAGCTAAACCCATACCTTAGGGGAATGAACACAAACAACAAATCTTAGCTATGAAGATGGGAGCTGCAGCTGGAAACGGCATGTTGGAGATGCCAACATGCATATATTTGTGGTTGTAAATGGAAAACTGTACTATGTTCAGTGAAAGCACTGTTCAAACTCAGTGTGTGAAGGTGTGCGTGCATGCTATGAACAGAGATGGATGTCTATTGCTGTGTCTGCTGAGAACTTCCTTTCCCTGAGACTTGTGTAACTTCACTCTTGCCACTGCAACCAAGTAAGTGCTGTCGATTGCAGCATTCCATCCCCTCAGTCATACAAATAAACTCAATGAGAAGTTAGGGAAGAAGGAGAATCCTCTTTAGTGTCACAATTGCATATGTGAGCGACAGGTATTCAGCAACGTATAAAGAATCCAATTAAAAATAATAAAGGTGATATGCAAAATAATGTAGACAGAAATAGAGAGTGTGTCCTGGTGACAATCCTTTATTTTCAGGTGTGCCCTTTTTCTAAGCTAGTTTGACTTGCTGTCACAACTACAAGAACCCTGACACCATAAGGTGCACAGGAAACACGGCAGAGGTACTCCTAAAGATCTTGGAAACACAAGGTACTTACTCAGCCTCACAAGTCAGTGTTGAAGGCACTCCACTACGGTGTTTCTCTTGACTGCGACCTAATAGAATATGCTAACGCATTAAAAAAAAGTGCCCAGCCACAGATGGAAACAGTGGTATTGTCCAATCCTCTACTCCACTGTCTTGTTTGTAGGCAAGAAAAGACACTCTAGAGTCTTACTAATTTTCTTTAATAATTTTGAGCGTTCATATCAGTTTATCTTAGCCTATTCACCTATATCAAATTGCTATTTCACTCTCTGCAAAGATTATTCTAACCATATAAACATGCTCCATTCCTCTCAAATGTCAAATACCATTATCTAGCAGAAGATAATGTCACATACTTCACAGAGAAATCATAAGCTATCAGATGGAACTCCTCCAATCTCCCAATACTAATTATACCATGCTCTCCTATGTCTCACCTGTCCACCTTATCTAAAGCCAATCATTTCTCATGTGCAATGAATTGTCATCCCCCCTACCCCTTTGTTTCTGATAATTTACAACACACAGAGTAATCAATGGTATAAATTTAACCTTTCCCTCACCACCAAAAATTCTAAACTCCATGAAGACAAGGGTCTTATCCATTCTTCTCACCACTATATTTTTTGTGCTTAGCACATATTAGGTAGTCAATGTCATTTGCTGAAGTTGTGAATAAATAAATAAGAGGCTGGAAAATTAATAATCTGTAAGAAGTCCTCTATTTCTAAGGTTCTATAATTCTCTTCACAGAAGATCAGGTGCCACACTGAATTCCTGATTTAGGGTTAGAGGCTTTATCACACTACAAAAATATATATTTAGATAAATAAAATTTTTCTTCATCCTTAACTTTATTTCTGATGAATTCACTTTAAATTTTGAGCCTAAGAATGAAATAAATGAAATAGAAAAATAACAAGTAATGCTTACTCTTCTTTCCATCCATATCCGCATGGATTTTCCGAGCCAAGAATCCACTTTTGTACACAGCAGCATTTGGGTCGTGAGGAATGTCCAAAAATGGGTTGGTAGTACTCCCAATGCGACTGATGGTCTTTGGATGTGTTCCATTAGCCTTCTCATCAGTACCTTCTGAGGGAGATTTTTTTTTCTCCTCATCATCTCTAAAAGGGAGAAAATACAAAGACTGAGCCAAGCACCTACCCAAAATATTCAATGAACAAAGTTATTCAGTGTAATAAACTATTTGTTTTCTAATGGTCTATGAGTCTTGATAACAACCACCATGATAATAAACAGCCACCATTTATTAAATGTCTCCTATGTACAAGGTATTAATGATCATGACAATCTCATTAGACTGATATTAGTATCCTGTATTACACATAAGATAATAGACTTATGAGATTAAATAAATATCCAAGGCCACAGATTTAGTATCCAAAAGAAGAGACAATTAGGCTATAATCATAAAATCTCTAAAGGCTCTGATCTTTACCCTCATTAAAATGCTTTCATGTTTGTCTTTTTTTGAACAAGGGGAGTTTTGGGGCAGGAATCATGATTGAATTTTGTATTTCTGCTGGGCCTAGCATAGTGCTAGGTATATAGAAAACAATAAGTAATTATAGACTGAACCCAAGGGATAGTATTGAACTATATGTGCCAGACAACCAGGCTAATTCCTAATATCAAAGGAGTTTTGGGGCAGGAATCATGATTGAATTTTGTATTTCTGCTGGGCCTAGCATAGTGCTAGGTATATAGAAAACAATAAGTAATTATAGACCGAACCCAAGGGATAGTATTGAACTATATGTGCCAGACAACCAGGCTAATTCCTAATATCAAAACCCCAGTAAAGATACCCAGTAAATGAGGATAGTGATGCCACTCACAGGGTCTTAGCATCTTATAGCTGCTACTTTTGCAACCACCATAAAAGTGTTGGGCACCCGATTAGCCACTGAAGAAACTCTTGGTTACCCAGTCTCTTTTTCTGAGTCCCTGTTCCTTTAAGCATGGCAAATTTGATCCAAAATATTCAATCCTGTAAAACAAGTATTCTTGATACTGCAAAGGTTAGTAAATGACATTGTCAGACTCTGAGAGTAAAAATCTGTCTGGGTCCCATTTGCAGGACCCAAATCAGCATGGTTGATGCCATCTGCTGGTGGTGGTTCTCTCACTTAAACATTCATGGTCTGTGCTAGCTGGGACTTGCAGGACTGACGTGGTACTAGTAATAATAATGTCCTGCCCTTTGTCCCACAGCATCTCCCAATTTCTGAGAATTTGTACCAACTCTTCTTTGAGACATGGAATTGGCAGAAAATAGGGAACAATCACCTTAAACTTGGATTAGCATTCTTCCTGATTGCTGCATCACTGCAAGGTGGTTTGTTTTTTTTTTAGACATCCTCTGCATAAGGGAGGCTATTTCAACTTTGTAAAAGAGCAGACACAAATCAATAGTGTATTTCTAAAAACAACTTTATAAATAAAGTTAACTCATTTCTATAGAAACAGCCCACCTAACTAGGATTTTCCTATACACCCCTGAACAGCAAAGGCATTTTCAGAATGATGACAGAAACTATTTTGTTAAAGTAAAATGGAGGAGACAATAGGGCCGTTTTGTGAAGGGAATGATTTATACACAAATATTTTGCACACATTTAAAAAAGACTCTTAAGAGAGTATTTTCTACTGAGATTCCAATCAACTCAACAGCTTACAACCTAAGAAATCCCCCAAAACATTCTTCACAGCAATCTATTCTATAAGTTGTCAACCGTATGATTCACTGGGTAGCCTAAGTCCATCACTACTTGATGACGCAGCTCACATCAAGAATGACAAAAGATCTAATTAGAGATTACCAGAAACAGGTAGGAAGGAATAATGAGAAGTTATTGCTTCACAGGTACAGAGTTTATGGCAAAAAAAAGTTTTGGAAATAGACAGAGGTAGAAATTACACAACATTATGAATGTAATTAACTACACACAACTCTATGTTTAAAAATGCTTAAAATGGAAATTCTTTTTATGTTTTTAAACATAATTATACAAATCTGTGGGGTACAGCATTGAATATTAATACTGTGTGCAATATATGATGCTCCAAACAGGATAATTACTATATTTTTCATTCTACAAGGTAATCATTTTTTGTGGCCCTTTACCAATTTCTTGCTAATCCCCTCTTCCCTTCCCTTTCTCTCCTCTGGTAGCCTCAGTTCCGTCCTTGCCTTTTGAAGGTTCATGAATGACTGTGATTGTTTATCTTTCTTTCTGTTTTCATTTGTTTTTTTTTTTTTTTTAAACTCCAACTTACAAGTGAGGATATGTGGTATTTTTCTGTTCCTGGCTTATTTCACTTAACATAATTTTCTCTAAGTACATCAAGTTTGCTATGAATAGCACGATTTCATTTTTTTTTTTTCCTTTTTTGTCTTTTTTTGTGTCCGGCAACGGATCGCAACCCTCAGTGTAGCGTCCGTACCGGACCGGGACCGGCAACGGGATCGCAACCCTTGGTGTTGCGCCCGCACCTCGCTCAGCCAGTGAGCGGGAACCGGTCTGTATGTGGGATCCGAACCCTTGGCGGGAGCGCCACAGTGCTCCCAAGCGGCGCACTGTAGTCGATTGAATTATGTTCCTCCAAAATTCACTGAAGCTTGAATTGTGTCCCCCAAGTTTTATGTATTAGAAACTTAGACCCCACTGTGACTGTTAAGAGGGTGGGAAATCCTATTATGGCAACTGAAAGGCGGAGCCTTGAAGAGGTGATTGGATTGTAGGACCAGGCAGTAGTGAATGGATTAAAAATGGTGGTCAGGGGCGTGATTCTGAGGGCTTTAAAAGGAGAGAGAGCCTCTCTTTCTCTCTCTCTGCTTCCACCATCTTGCAATGTGAGACCTCTGGGTCACTATCGCCACTTCCAGATGGACTTTGGACTTCACGACTTCAGAAACTGTAAGCTACAAATTTCATTTTTCTTTATAAATCACCCAGTTTCAGGTATTTTGTTATAAGCAACAGATAATGGACCAATACATCCATGGCGTATATATACCACGTTTTCCTTATCCAGTAGTCTGATGATAGACATTTAAGTTGGTTCCAACTCTTGGCTATTATAAATAGAGCTGCAGTAACCATGGGAGTGCAGGTATCCCTTCAACATGATGATTCCATTCCTTTGGTTATATACCCAGCAGTGGGATTGCTGGATCATAAGGTAGTTCTATCCGTAGTTGTTTGAGGAACCTCCATACTGTTTTCCATAATGACTGCATCAATTTACAGTCCCACCAACAGTGTAGGAAGGTTTCCCTTTCTCCACATCCTCAAAAGCATTTATTCTGTCTTTTTGATAACAGCCAGTCTAACTGGGGTGAGATGATATTTCAAAGTGATTTCGATTAGCATTTCCCTGATGCTTAGTGAAATTGAGCATTTTTTTTCATGTATCCATTCGCCATTTGTATATCTTCCTTTGAGAAATGCCTGTTTAGCTCTTTTGCCCATTTTTAAATTGGGTTACTTGCTATTTTACTCTTAAGTTGTTTGAGTTCCTTGTATATTCTGGATATTAATCCAATATCAAATGCATAGTTTGAAAATGTTTTCTCCTATTCTGTAGGTTGTCTTTTCACTGTGTTAATTGTTCATTTTGCTGTGCAAAAGCTTTTTAGTTTGATATAATTCCATTTATTTTTTCTTTTGTAGCCTATGCTTTTGGGGTCTTATTCATAAAGTCTTTGCCCAGTCCTACTTCATGAAGTGTTTCTCCTATGTTTTCTTTTAGGAGTTTTGTAGTTTCAGGTCTTATATTTAAATCTTTAATACATTTTGAGTTGATTTGGTATATGGTGAGAGGTACAGATCTAGTTTTGTTCTTCTACATATGGATGCCCAGTTTTCCAAGCACCATTTTTCAAAGAAGTTGTCCTTTCCACAATGTATATTCTTGTTGCCTTTGTCAAAGATCAGTTGGCTGTAAGTATGTGGGTTGATTTCTGGGTTCTCTGTTGTGTTCCGTTGGTCTGAGTGTTTGTTTTTATGCCAGTAGCACACTGTAGGTTACCACAGCTTTTTATAATTTGAAGTCAGGTAGTGTTATGCCTCTGGCTTGCTTTATTTTTTTGCTCAGGACTGCTTTGGCTATTTACCTTCTTTTTTTGTTCCATATAAATGTTAAGATTGTTCTATTTCCATGAATAATGTCATTGGTATTTTGATGGGGATTGCATTGAATCTGTAGATGGTCTGGGGTAGTATGGACATTTTCCCACTGTTTATTCTACCAATCCAAGAACATGGAATGTCTTTCAATCTTTTTGTGCCCTCTTTAATTTCTTTCATCAGTGATTTGTAGTTCTCCTTGTAGAACATTTCACCTCCTTGGTTAAATTGATTCCTAGGGATTTAATTTTTTTGGTGACTACTGTAAATGGGCTTACTTTCTTGATTTCTTATTCTGCTGGTTCATTATTGGAGTGTAAAAACACTACTCATTTTTGCATGTAGATTTTGTATCCTGAAACTTTACTAAAATCATTTGTCACCTCTAAGAGTTTTTTGACAGAGCCTTTAGGTTTTCCTATATATAGGATCATGACATCTACAAACAGGGACAGTTTCACTTTACCTTTTAAAATCTGGATACCCTGGGCCGGCCCGGTGGCGCACTGCTACAGTGCGCCGCTTGGGAGTGCGGCGGCGCTCCCGCTGAGGGTTCGGATCCCACATACAGACAGACCGGTA